AGATGACGATGAAATTCGATAGAGGTGGAAATGTTGTAGGCCCGTGTGCTCAGATTTGGGTGCACGTTAAAGAACCCCAGGTGGTCGAAATTTCCCGAGCCCTTCACTACGGCGTCTCTCATAATCATATGGTGGTTTTCGGACGTGAAACCCCACAAATCAATCAATCAGCGATGAAATACGATCGCAAGTGCAGGTGTCGAGAACAAGCCTATAGTTGGCAAACTTGGGGATGAGCAATTTCATGCTGAGCGCTCAAACTGTTCAAACTGTTTGAGCGCTCAGTTTGAGCGCTCAAACTGAGCGCTCAAACTCGGTTGACCATTCGACGACTTCGTGTGACCTGATGGCACATAAGATTGTCTCGTGACGTCAACGAACGCAGCAATGTAAGTGTTCAAGGCGCAACTATCTATCGTATTTAGGCGAACCTGTGGCCAGAAACAAGAAGTAAATTAGTGAAATACGCACTGTACTCAGGGGCGGATCTAGCCACCTATTTTAAGGGGGTGGTCCCGTCATGACTTTTTGTTTCTACTAGCAGAAAAAGCCTTTCATAGCACAAATACTGTTCATGTGTGCTCACAGTGGTTTTACTCATTTGTCAGAATTGATGATAGCAGTTGGACTCGAGCACTGAAGTGAGGGCGAGGGCCACTGACAGCGATTATTCGTGGGTTGGAGGCAATCGCTCCTAGCGCCCGTCCTCTGGATCTGCAGATGACTGTACTTTGATAGCAGTGAACATATAATGAGTCACTGAAAAAAATCATAGCATATTCACCGAGTGCATGATAATGAGTTGGGCGAAGTGTCCGTCAGTTCGCCGCGCTTCCTTCCATCCGTTCTTTCTTGCTTCGATCTGTTCGTGCGTCCGTCTGCGCGACCGTCCGTCCATGCATCCGTCCGTCTGTCCATCCGTGCATCTGTCTGTCTGTCTATCCATCCGTCCATTCACGCGTCTGTCCATCCGTCCGTCTATCTAGTGTCCAACCGTCCGTCTATATGTCTATCTATCCAAGTATCGCTATCTCGCATCTTTTCATCATATATTCATGATATAGAAGTACCGACATTCAGCGGACATTCCAAGGACACAACGAGTGGTGGAACAGACGGGCTGGAGGTGCGCCAGTCGCACACTCTTTTACGGTCTGTGCTTCGTGTCTAGTTCCCACCATTCACCGCCACTATTTCAAGGCACTGTGGAATTACCTTTGCTTAACCTTGCTAAAACCAAGGAGGTTATGCCATTATGCTATAGAGGTATATGTGGCAACCGTTTCTGGTTAGATTGTGCATACTGAAACTGTGTCCTTTTGTTACTAGTTTTTTTATAATAAACACCGAATTCGACGAAACTATTATTGGAGATTAAGTCACCGATACTCGTCTCTGTAACTTTTTCATCAGAAACAACTACCTTTTTATTTACAATTAGCGTGCAGAGGTTTCCTCATCAATTCGAAAGGGTGCACGCGCGCCACTCCTCTAGTCCGGCCGTGATGGTGGCTACCTCCTACTACTACTAATACCACTACTACTACTACTAATACATACACCACGGACGCACGACCCACGGCTTAAGAAGCTTCGCCCCTAAAATCGACAAGTGTATACGGTAAAGCGCACCGGCTTTTATATATGTCCCACGGCTGCTGGATAAAAAAATGGGGAACCCTTGAACTTTGCCTTCAAGTGTTGAACGCGATAGCGAAATCCGGCCCCTAGTGCATCCTTAAGCCTCTAAGTGCATATTTATTATTAGGTTTTGTTACACACATACACACACAAACGCGCTGGCGCGACATAGCCATGGCACAGGTTTTCGATCTCTAAACACTTTTTTAACAACTACCTGAAAATATTGTACTATAATATAGTCACATGGTCTTGTATTACGAGGTGAGTGAAGGCGTGACACTTTTTTTCCTGAATGGTCACATTCTGTCACCTGTCTTGCGTCAGTTATCTGGCAATTGTTCAAATTGTTCTTCTCGAGACCTCTTGCAGCCAACCGCAACAATCATCGCCTATGATCGGTGAAATGCAAACTGCAGTACATCACTTCTTTAATGGTGTCATGAGAATGAACAGCTTAATCTATTCAAGTGTTGTGGTTTGTTGAATTGGCATTTTCTCCAAGGGGCATAAAGAGTCTCACGATGCCTGACAGATGGCATCACATTATCTAGCGTTTGCTGCTTTCTTGATCAACGCCTCTAGAAAGGCATAAGTTTTCCGCTAGATGGAAATAGTTGCCCATTTTTCAAGCTGTTTCAAAGATCCTGTGTGTTTTTAGTGGCGATGGTGGCACTATGTCGGTCTTTTTTGACGCAGTTTGATGGCCTCCCAAATGCGCCTACAAATCACCAAATGGGCTCGTCTTCGTCGTGACACCTGTCGAATCAAATGCGTTGAGGAGACTCCCTAAACTACACGGCTTTTTGTAGTGTTCTATCCCGAAGCAGCTGCAAAAAACGGCGTTGCTTTGTGGTAGGACACCTGCTTCCCTGGTTTGATCCTTACCAAGAACGAAATCTTTATTCCTTATTTTATTTGCTTTTTGCTCGATTTCTCACCTACTCACAATGTTTCGCTCACAACCAACGGTGCCAACGCCAACTGCTGAATTGCTGCGACACGAGCTCTCTAACAGTATTGCGTTATAGCGCACGGGTACGGCACGCCGCGTGCTCCAATACCGGCGTCACTGGTCTAGTTGGCTGGACCACCACTGCGGCGCCACCAGGGGGAGGGGGGCACGGGTTCCGCGGGCGCCCTCGGACTCGCATGCACAGCGCCTTTGCGGTAGTTACGAATGATCGCGTGAACTTTTTTGTGATCAGCGAAATCTTTGCTTATTATCCGTCTAGCGTCTGCCCATGAGGTAATTACCTATCTTGCTTTTACATACTTGCAGCACTTGCAAATTTTCGGTATTGCCTTGCCTGAGATGCAACCTGCCCCCGATCAGTTTTCGCGGAAGTAAAAATTGTGAGCACACTTTACTAGGATTCTGCAAGATCACAACTAAGCGACCTGGTAGAGCTGCACGTTTCCTGATGCATCGAAATTTAATGTAATAATTATGAGTATGTCATTTAACTATTAAAACGATATTTCTAATTCAATGATTTGATTTAGAATGAGTAACCTCGGCGATTGCAGTTGCTACTGTTCATTAAACACAAAATAAGATAGAACTTTTTACGTCCTCTAAACACGTCAATAGTATTCATACGTCACAGTATCAGATGCAACAGCCACGAAATAATTTTTAGCATGTGTTCAATCTCATGAAAGTTGACTCATGCCTCTTTAAAATTTCAGTGACTGTAATTTCAATGCTGGATTCCAAGCGAGCTGTCATGAAGTAAATAATATGCAAACTGTGTTACGGAAAGGGCGATGAAAGGTTAAAAAATGCGAACACAACTGTTTGCCTTCCGCGCTTTTGAATGTTTTAGTCTCTTTCAGTCACGACGTAATTATGATTGTGCAACTAATTGAATTTACATTAAACAGTGTACACAAAACCAGAATAAAATACATAAAAATATTTTATTTACTCTCGACTTAGAATTATCCTGGAATTTTTTTTGTTTTTTTACGATTAAAACACACACTTAAGGTGCTCCGTTGCGCACCAGACAAGCATATATTTACGTTCATACCGCCACAGCCGCTGGCTGCAACCGTTGTGGCATCCAGGAGTTATGACACCACCTTCCTGTTTTCTCCTATATGTAGTTTCTTTTTCTCTAATTCGTGGCCTATGTCTAGTTTTTTTTCTAATGCCCTTGGTGTCTTTGTAATTATTTCCGGTTACTTCCGAACGCTGTCGCAATGTGGTGTCCCCCCGCAATGCCATGTGATACTGATGTTCATCTTCGTAAAAAACCTCATGCATTGTTTTCATTGAGAAAATTCAGCTGTCTGTAGTCATTTGCGGAGCGGCACACAGACCTAAACTTACCTCAGCAAAACGTGCGGAAATAAAAAGGTGCCGAGATGCGATTGGTGGGTGACAAGTGTTTATATTTAAAACAAATATACACATGGCAGCCTACACACACGTTGAGAGCGCTCCCGTTCCCTCCTGTCGTTTGCGCTGTTAATCACTTTCTTCGTCTACCATGCAGAACCAACCTTCCCAATCAAGCACTTTGTTAATCTTGAGAGCTTCTCACCGAGACGAAGTGAGGAGGATAGTTTTGGAAAGAGCCGTGGTAGGGAAAAAAACTGGCATAAAAGCTATTCTGTACTCGTTTCTGTTTCCTTTTCACGTTATTCGTCATTAATGCTTTGTTCTGCCTCCATCTTGTGCGCCCAACGTTTGCCTTATGTGTTTATTGAAATAAAACTATTCGTTAGGTTTTTTCATGTCAGCCTCTCTACGGGCACTAGCGAATCCCGACAGCACTCCAACTTGCTTGTCTTCTGGCAGGGTTCTGTAATCCAAGTCTGTTTATTTATTCTACTAAGTATTGTCGACAAATTGGCATCTGTGCTCCTGTGGCAGCTGTGGCAGTCGAATACACGAAGGCACGTTTACTCTACTGCCCTACAGCAGCCGTGGTTTCGCCATGTGTAAACACAAAACGTGGTTGTCACTGGACCCAGCTGTATATATAAAAAAAGAAACGTGAAGTGAAGAGAGGGCACGGCACATGGCGTGCAGGCAACATGTCTAAGTCGGCATTGCTGTTTATGCAGGCACTTTCATGGATTGCGGGAGCGACAACTACGAGCGGCACATTCTGGCTACTTTCCCACGAGTCTTATCAGATAACTGTGAGCAACAAGTGAGTGGATCAACCTTCTTTGGTGTCAACTGGTGGCAAAAGTTGGCTGCCTTTCGACGGAACTTATCAGAACTCTGAAAGCAGCACCTGGACGGCTCGTCTATCATTAGTGACGTCATCAACACTTCACTTCAGCTAGAAAAGGAACAGCCCAACCAAGGAACCCTCAGAGGGCACAGAACATGACCTGCATGCAACATGTCTAAGTCGGCATTGCTGTTTATGCAGGTGATTTCGTGGATTGCGGGAGCGACAACTACGAGCGGCACATTCTGGCTATCTTTCCACGAGTCTCATCAGATAACTGTGAGCAACAAGTGGGTGGAACAACCTTCATCGGTGTCAACTGGTGGCGAAAATTGGCTGCCTTTCGACGGAACTTATCAGGGCTCTGAAAGCAGCACCTGGACGTCTCGTCTATCATCAGTGACGTCATCAACCCCTCGGCTAGAAAAGGAGTGCCAACCAAGGAACTCTCAAAGGGCACGGCACATGGCCTGCAGGCAACATGTCTAAGTCAGCATTGCTGTTTATGCAGGTTCGTTACCTCTCTAATACTGCATGTTATAGTAGTGACAATCGATTTTTGTTAGTATTGCCGTGCCCTCGCATTTGTATTGCTTGTGTCATTGATTGCTGGTCTGTGGTGTTGATGCTTTTAAAGTCTGGTGATGTTGAAGATGATGATGATGATGAACAAACTTTATTTAATTAGCTGGAAGGTCCTTCTCCCCTTTCAGGTGCGAGAGGAGAAGGGAAGCTAGACGACGGCCATGATCCCATGGGCCCTGGCAGCGTCTTTGGCCTGCCGTATTAAGCGGGCTTGTAATTGAGAGTCAGAGCGGAGGAGCGCGGTATCCCATCCACTCCAGTCTGGAAATTCGCCTCTCATGGGTGCCTGTGGGCATGCCCATAAAATGTGGCTTAAGTCTGCCCTGTTGTTGACGAAAACGCGAGGCCAAGGACTGCTGAGATGTTGGAGCAAATCTTAGAAAAACAAGTAGCATTCGAAACCAAGATAGATGCCATGAGGAAAGAAATATCCAATTGAAATATTAAAACTGAAAAGTTCACGGACTATTTTATTGTTATTGAAGAAATGAGCGAGTGAATTAGCAGGCTGGAAGCAATAGTTAGGCAACAAGAACAGAAGTTATTTGATTATGAAAACAGGAGTAGACGTAATGATCTACTCGTTTTAGGCCTACCGGAAGATTCTAGTGAAACCAAGTCAGACCTGACGGAAACTTGCCAGAAACAACTTGGTGCAAGAGTTGCCAGAAACAACTTGGTGCAAGGTGAATTACGCTAATTATACGCATATTCTTGGAGCCGTCTACAGACCACCCGGAAGTCCACCCGAGTCTTTAGAAAAATAAATATGTTTTTGTGTGATCATGTAAATGAAAACACAGGGCTTATAATGGCTGGTGACTTTAATTTAGCGCATATAAATTGGTTAAGCTTTTCAACTGGTCATGCGGAAACCCGTAGTGCTGATAGGTTATTAGAGCTGATGCTTTTCATAACCTCAGGCCAATCGTAAAAGATTATACACGAGTTACCCCTACGTCACAGTCATTGTTAGACTTCGTTTTTATATCGAGTAGAGTGACTGATTATGCCGTATCAGTTGAAAATGACATATCAGACCACAGAATGGTTGCGGTTGACGTATTTTTTGATACCGGCTTTTGAACAAAGCGTCATCTGTAAGCACATATCAAAGATTACGATCGTGCTGATCTTACGGCAATCCTGGACTTTTTAGAAATGTCGCTTGGCGAATTTTAGGAGGCATCAAAACTTGAGTTCGTTGAACAGATCTGGAAACGTTTTAAGGAAATTGTAGGTTACTGTTCAGACAACTTCATACCCACTCGCGTTAAAAAGACAAAATTAAGAAATCCATGGATAAGTTGAGAAATAATTCACATGAAGCGTAAATTAAAAAGACTGCGCAGAACTCATAGGGCCTCGACCGAGATATCATAGGCTAAAAAAAACTTCAAAGCACAGACAGCGCAATCCAAGAAACATTTTTTCAATAACACACTGACTAACTTTGTAACGAACTCACCATGCAAGTTTTTGCTGTTTTTTACGGAAGGGAATGAGGGACTTGGTATTATTGTAGATGGAAAAGAAGTAATCACAGAAAAGTCATATATAGCTGAAAGACTCAATTTTTTCAATCGGTTATCTGTAAGGATCAGGGTGATAACGAGAAAATTGAATCGGGTACTACAGTGGCACTTCAGGAAGATAATATAAATATTTACCGAGAAGGTATATTCAATCAACTACTTCTTTTAAATACCAAAACGTCATGAGCACCTGATCGTATATCGAATCAATTTTTGTGACGATTTGCAGAGTGGCTGTCTTACTGCCTAGTGATTATTTTCGAGAAATCTTTAAAATGCCACTTGTTACATCAAGATTGGTGTAGAGCAACTGTTGTCCCAATTTTTAAAGGTGGTGATAGAACGACATTGAACAATTATAGGCCTGTCACACTCACGTCGGTATGATGTAAAATATTTGAACATATATTGGCAAAAAATATTCGGGAATTTTTAGAACGAAATGAATATTTATGCCCCTTTCAGCATGTGTTTCGCGGTGACCTTTCAACAGTCCCACAATTGGTTGAAACTACACATGACTTGTGTATAGCTGTAGATGCCTGTATGCAAGTCGATGTTATATGTATCGATTTTTCAAAAGTGTTCGACAGAGTTTCACACCGTAAGCTGCTATTCAAGCTTCAAAATGTCGGCATTAGTGAGAATGTTCTCAGTTGGATCAGAGCTTATCTAAACAATCAACAACAAGCAGTTAGAGTGGGAGATGCTTTGTCGGGAAATCGGGAGGTGTATTCGGGAAGGCCTCAAGGATCTGTACTGAGGCCCCTACTCTTGCTTTTACACATAGATGATATATCATAAGTTGTCCAACCACCAGTAAAAATTAAGCTATTTGCAGATGACTGCCTAATCTATTGTCCGGTATCATGCAGCGAAGATCAAGTGAATATCAATCAGTGCTTACAAACCCTAACCTTATGGTGTTCTAAATGGGGTATGGAAATTGACATTAAAAATCCACTTAAAAAAAGAAGGAAGTGCTTTCGTTTGCATATAACATTGGTGATAATATGCTGGTGAAAGTGTGTTTTTTTAATTACTTGGGTGTAACTCTAAGAGATAAGTTAAGCTCGCGTCCTCATGCCAATAACATATGTCAATCAGCATGTCAAAAATTGTTCTTCTTACGAAGGAAGTTAGGCCGAGCCAGAAAAGATGTCAAGCTGCTTGCCTACAAAACTTATGTACGTCCGAGATTAGAATACGCTAGCACTGTGTTGAACCCACACCAAAAGGTCTTAAAAAATAAATTAGAACGCATTCAGAGAATGTTAGCTCGCTTCATCTGCTTCAAATATCGAAGAAAGGATTCTGTTACTGAAATGTTAAAAGAATGTAAATTAGAGTCGCTAAAATTAAGAAGGCGGAAACAAAGGTTGAAACTTCTTCTTGAGATCCTGCATGCCGAGGTGAAAATAAACAGGGATGATTATTTGAAGCATTCTTACAAAAGGTTTCCAAGAGCAACAAGCACTACATTCATACAACCAATACATACTCGAACAGATATCTTCCGATTTTCTTTCTTTCCCGATGCTATTAATATGTTGAATGAATTACCAAACGATATGGGGCAAAAAAGAACTTTGAGTGATTTTGAGGTTGCTCTTGATAGTCATTTTGTTGAGAATGTATAGTTTCCAGTGTTCATGTATGTGTTTCCTTGAAAATGTTTCATTGGTCATAGAGATCATGTTGTAAATATATTGAGTGAAACAGAATGTCACTGTGTTTCTTGTATATTTATGCTATATGTTACAGAGTTATCTTACGATTTTTCAAATATTTAGGTTCGTGCCACTCAATTCTTCACCCCCCCTGTAATGACCCTCAAGTGAGGGTTAACAGTACGAGAAATAAATAAAATAACAAATGTCACGCGAAATTAATATGGCTTGAGTGTATTCCTGCAATGTCCTGATTTTGTTTCTGTAGTGGAGGCCTTTTATTGCCAGGTCATTGGCCGAGATGTAAGCCACTCTACGCCAGTTATATATATATTTATTGTTACTAATAACTTCTTTAATAATCTATTTAGAACGCGCAGAACTCGACGAGCAAGAGGGCGCCCGTTCAGCGTCAAACAAAAAACTCACTTCGTCCTCTTTCATGCAGCCGTGTTTAGCGGCTGTTTTTTATCTTAACCTCCCGTGGTATAAGCACAGTCCCAGTGCTAAATCTACGCAGATGGTGTCGAAGAGGGTAATAGGGCTCTTGTGGAGCCACGTGAATGGTGTCGCTTGGAGCTGACGATGATTTCGTTGGATCGGTTGGAACAATCTCGTACGTGACGTCTGTCACTTGGCGAACGATACGGAATGGTCCAGTGTAGGGCGACAACAGTTTTTCAGACAGTCTCTCACGCCAAGTAGGGGACCAGAGGAGCACGAGAAAACCCGGGGAGAAGTGCACGTCCCTATGGTGAAAATCGTAGAGCTGTTGTTGGTGCGCCTGCGAAGCCTGTAGACGGTTACGTGCGATTGGCACGCGTGGTCGGCGCGGGCAACGGCTTCCCCGGCATATTCAGTGGCCGCAGGTAGCAAACTGTCTAAAGATATAGTTGGGTCCCGGCCATACAGGAGATAGAAGGGCGAATAGCCGGCAGTGTTGTGACAAGATGAATTGTAGGCGAACGTCACATACGGCAAATGAACGTCCCAATCCCGGTGGTCTGGCGCAACGTATTTGGCAAGCATATCGGTTGGGGTCCTGTTGAGGCGCTCCGTTAGGCCATTTGACTTGGAATGGTATGAAGTAGTAACCTTGTGCTTGGTATGACAAGACCTCAGGATTTCATGAATGACAACTGATAAGAACGTGAGGCCACGGTCGATGAGAAGTTGGCGGGGAGCACCGTGCACTTATAATATGTCGTACAGCAGAAAGTCCGCAACGTCGGTATCGCAACTGGTTGGGAGTGCTCGTGTCATTGCGTACCACGTCGCGTAGTATGTGGAGACAGCAATCCATTTATTTCCGGCTGTGGAGAGTGGAAAAGCGCCCATCAGGTCGAGACCAAAAAAAAAAGGTTCAGTGGGAACGTCGATCGGCTGAAGCTAGGCGGCCGGGAGGGCAGACGGCGTTTTGCGACGCTGACAGGGCTCACAAGCGGCGACATAGCGGCGAACAGAGCGGGCAAGTCTAGGCAAAAGAAAACCGACGTTGTACCCGATCGTATGTGCGAGAAACGCCCAAATGGCCCGTCATGGGAGCGTCATGAAGTTGATGCAGGACAGTGGAACGCAGGTGCGCTGGGATGAGAGGAAGTAAGTCTGATCCGAAGGAATCAAGGTTACGGTGATATCGGATCCCGTCTTTCCCCAAAAACATTCGTAGGGATGGGTCGCGAGGCATTGACTCCAGTTTGTCAATGATGGCTCGTAAAGAAGCATCCCGACGTTGCTCTTCGCCAATGTTCAACAGCTGCGACATGTAAAAAAACGTCCGTGATAGCATCAGTATCGGTTGCTTCGTCAACAGGGTAGCGGGATAAACAATCTGCATCCTGATGTAATCGCCCTGTTTAATACATTACAGAGAACGTGTATTCTTGAAGGCGTAGGGCCCAACGAGCGAGACGTCCTGTGGGGTCCTTCAGGGAGGCTAGCCAGCAGAGCACGTGATGATCTGTGTCAACACGGAATGAGCGCCCGTACAGGTATGGACGAATCTTGGCGACTGCCAATACAAGGGCGAGGCACTCGCACTCCGTGATGAAATAGTTGCACTCGGCTGGAGATAGCAGTCGACTTGCGTAGGCTATAACACGGTCACGTCCCCGTTGTTGCTGCAACAGCACAGCTTCTATGCCGTGTCCACTGGGGTACGTGTGAACCTCGGTTGGGGCTAATGGATCAAAATGAGATAAGATTGGTGGCTTTGTTAGCAGTGTCGTAAGTTGAGAAAACGATGATGCTTGGTCATGGCTCCAGATAAACAAGGCGTCTTTCTTCAAGAGGTCTGAGAGAGGGCGTGCAATGTTCTCAAAGTCCTTAACAAAGCGTCTGAAATATGAGCACAACCCGACAAAACTGGGGACATCTTTTGTGGTTCTTGAAACAGTAGAGTTTGTGACTGCGCGAAATTTCTCTGGGTTTGGACGCACGCCTTGGGCATCTACAAGGTGACCGAGCACGGAAATTTGAAGACGAGCGAAATGGCACTTGAAGGCGTTAAGCTGGAGTCCGGCTCGATGAAAAACGTCCAGAATAGCTGACAAACGATCGAGATTCGAGTCGATTGTGGGCGAAAAGACAAAATAACATCGTC